AGGGTTGGGAGGAGAGAAAAGTGCAACAATGAATGAATGGAAACCCAAAGTCTTTGTAAATTCATTGAAATTAATAATAAATTTAAAAAAAGAAGGAAAAAAATTCATTAGAGCATAGAGATGTCAAAACAAAGGAAGAGATGACAAAGTAAAAAGCTAAATAGAAGCTTGAAAAGGGCAGCTTGAGCGGATAAAGCAAAATATTATAATGAAATGTGCAAAGAGCTGATGTCAGAAAATAAAAAGTGAAAAGCTTACATAGCATTTGTCAAGCTGAAAGAACTGAAAAACAAATTCAAGCCTCGAGTTGCAATACTGAATTCCATGAGCACAATCTTGAATGATCCAGGAAGCATCTAAAGGAGATAGAAGCTCTGTATGATCCATCTATTCCACCACTAAGAATATACCCCAAGGAAATTAGAACTGAGACAAATGGAGATCTGTACACCAGTGTTCATAGCAATGTTACTCACTATCACAAGAACATGGAAGGAGCCCAAAAGTCTGGCTACAAACAAATGGATTGAGAAATGTACATCCACACAGTGGAATAGTATGTAGCACTCAAGAGCAACAATTTAGAAAAATACTACATAACTTGGGAGAGACTGGAGAGAATTATGCTGAGTGAACTAACTACATTTCATAAGGACAAATACTGCATAAGACCATTATTATAAACATAGGAGGATAACTAGTAAAGCATATATGGGCACCCAAGGGGGGAAGAGGTTAGAAGCAGAGGGATGAGGATGGGTAGGGGCAAAACCACAAGGTTGCACAGTTTGGTGGGTGGAGGAAGATAGTGAAGCAAATGGGAAGGATTTGGTGGGGATCTGAAAAGGCAGGGTAATGATGGGAAAGATCCAATGATGATTAATTTTGTAAAATATAATGCATGGGAAAGATTGTAGAAAATACAATGTATACAAATTTTTAAAGAGACAAATATAAAAAAAAAAGCTGGAAAATACACAGAACCACTATGCCAAAAATAATTGATTGACACAGAAAAATTTCAGGAAATACCATATGAAAAAGAGCCTATGGTGAGGAAAGATGAAGTTCAAGCAGCACTGAAGACATTGGGAAAAAATTAGGCCCCAGGAATTGATGGACCACCATCTGACATCTTTGAACTAACTAACATATGCAGATCTGGATGTGCTCCCCAGTTTATGTCAGGAAATTTGAAGGACAACTACCTGGTCAACTGACTGGGAGAGATCCTATTTGTCTCATTCCCAAACAAGGTGATTGAACAGAATGTGGAAACTATCGAGCAATATCATTAATATATCTTTAAAATGAAATGTTTTTGAAGATCATTCAAATGCAACTGGAAGAGTGCTTTGACAATGAACTACCAGAAGTACAAAATGGTTTTAGAAGAGGCTGCAGCACCAGGGATATCATTGCTGATATCAAATGGATATTTGATATTTGAGCCAGGGCTAAATGCAAAGATTACCAGAAGAATGCCTATTTGTATTTTACTGACTATGAAAAGGCATTTGAATGTGCGGATCATAAAAAAATTATGACTAACATTGAGAAGAATGGGAATCCCAGACACTTAATTGTGCTCTTTTGGAATCTATACATTAACCAAAAAGCTGTTGTGGGAACAGAAAGAACACTGCATGGTTTAAGATCAGAAACGGTGTGAATCAGGGTTGTAGCCTTTCTCTATACTTATGCAATCTGTATGCTGAGGAAATAATTTGTGAAGCAGGACTCTAAGAAGAGGAGTGTGGCATCAGATTGGAAGAAGACTCAGCAACAATCTGCATTATGTGATGACACAACCCTGTTACTGAATGTGAGGAGGATATGAAATGCTTACTGCAAAAGATCAAGAACTATAGCTTTCAGTATGGATTACATCTCAACATCAAGAAGACAAAGATCTTCATTCCTCTATTTTGGCATTCTGTGGGATATTCGGTACACTTCTCTAATATCACAGCTCAATTCTGTCATCCTTATTCATTGTCCAGCTGTCAGATACATAGCAAGTGACTGAAAAGACCACGGACTGAATAAGATGCATGTTAGTCCTCAAACTGACATCATTACTCCTCAATAATTTGGAGAGATCTTTGACTACAGGTTTTCCCAATCAATAAATTTCCTGATCTCTTGACTGTTGATATCAGGTATATTAATTGTGGATCCAAGTAAGGGGAAGTAATTGACAGTCTTAATCTTTTCTTCGTCTATCATGATGTTGCTTATTGGTCCAAAGGTGAGGATTTTTTTTTTTTTTTACTTTTAACCTGTTCTAATACTTGATGTCTTCTAAGTTAAAAAAACTTTCATGCTACAAAAGACAATAATTATTGTCAACATCTTTGTGACTATGTTAAGTCAGTTGATTATAGGTGTCTTGCTTATTTTTTTAAGTTTGAGTGAAAAATTTACAAATCATATTGATTTTTCATTAATATCTATATAATATCTATGCTCCAATTCCAAAGGCATGCAATTTGAATCCATGAACTTCTCCATGGGAGAAAGATAGAAAATCTCCTCCTGTGAAATTAACTGCTACTGAAAACCTCTGGGAGGGTCAGTTATGAGTCGACTTCAACTCAATGGTACACAATAACAACAATAACAACATAATTACATAGTTTAAAATTAAGAAGGGAGTGCTTCAGGTTTATATTCTTTCTCCAGACCTATTCACCCTATACTGCTGAGCAAATTTTTCGAGAAACTGGACTCTGGGAAGAAAAATGTGACATCAGGAGTGGGGGACGACTCATCAGTAACCTGTGTTGTGCAGATGACACAGCTTTGCTTGCTGAAAGAGAAACACTTGTTGCAGAAGATGAAAGAATAAAGCCTTCAAAATGGATTGCATCTCAATGTCAAGAAAACAAAGATTCTTACCATTTGACTGATAGGAATTATCATGATAGATGGAGAAAAGATTGAACTTGTCAACAACTTAATTTTACTTGGATCCACAATGAACATTCTTGGCATCAGCAATCATGAAATCAGAAGATTTTTGCACTGGTGTTTGAGAAGAATATTGAACATCCCATGGACTGGCAAAAGAACAAATAGGTATGTCTTGAAGAAAGTGCACCCAGAAAGCTCTTTGAAGGCAAAGATGATAAAGCTTCACATACTTTGGCCATGTTGCTAGGAGAGGCTATTTCTTGCAGAGGGACATAATGCTCAGAAAGGCAAAGAGTTGGTGAAAGAATAGAAGACCCTCCGCTGAGAGGATTGACACAGTGACTGCCATAGCAGGCTCTAGTGTGTCACAAAGTGTAAGGATGGCACATGATAGGACATGGTTCAGATCTGTTGTTCATAAGGTTGCTATGGGTCTTACTCAACTTAATGGCATCTAACAAGAACAGCAACAACATAATTATTATATCTTTTGAAGCATGAAAAGTTTTA